CCAGCCCCTGCCCCCAGGACCATTGGGGTCCATCTGCCCAGCTTGCCAGGCCCTGCTCAACTTCGCACCTTGGGGGAAGGAGGAAGGGAGAAGAGGTCCCCTAGCTAGGGGAGGTGGAGGAGACCGGAGGGGCTACCACATCATAGCAATGCGTTACCTGGCAGGCTTAGAAAGCCACAACCGCCCCTTAGACTCTTGGACTCCATACCTATGCCCCCAACAAGCGAGGCTGAACAGCCATCACTCCCTGCTGAGGCCCAATCCCAGTTCTGCGCCCAGAAGCGCGGTTCGGTTTGATCCGGCCCTGGGTCCTTAGTCCTGCCCTCCTTCCTTCCTACCATTCCCTTTGCCTGCTATGATCTTCCTGGGGCTGGAGGCATGGAGAGACCACCCAACCCATCCCCTCTGCAGCACCCTGCAGTTAATTCTCTATCTCTGACATTGATCTTGATCTTCAGGGTTGGGCCCAGAGCACTGACCCAAGACTGCAGCCCCTTCCCATCAGCAAGAAATGGGAAACTGAGGCTGGGAGGGGCGCATGTCTTGCCCAAGGCTACACAGCCTGGTGGCATATGGATGACCTCAAGAATCAGTGGTCTTGCCAATTCTCCAGCCCTGCTCTACCCGCCCACCCAGAGCTTCTGGAGATGGGGGGAGGACTTCAATACCATCTCAGATTCCTGGTCTCAAAGACGGTTTCCTCATCACTGTCCAGCGAGGCCACGTCAGCGGGGTCCTCAGTGTTAGCCAGGAGGCCATAGCTCCTCCGCTGTGGTTTCTTCAACCTGCAAGCAGTTCCAGGCAGATCAGTGGTTGTCTCAGGTCACCTCCAGTGGCAGCTGATACCCCATCCTGCTTCCTGCCTTCCCCATTATCCTTTGTTGTCTCTGCTCTCCGCCTCCTCTGCCCGACCCTCAAAGCTTTGCTGTGAAGCTTCCTGGTCTAATTGTGTTTCTTTGGCCTCATAACAGTCATGGTGGTTAGTTGCTCTTATGTCAATAATGGCAAGTGGATATCTCCTTTGGCAGACTCCCTCCCGGGCTGTGCTGTTATCCTCCTCTACTGATGAGAAAACCCAGTCTCAGAGGGGTGAGGGTGTACCAGAGACACTGAACTGAGGGCTATCTGTCTCAGGCCAAAGCCCCGGCTCACGACCACTACCAGGGCACCGGGGAAATGAAGGGAGCCTTCTGAAGCGGATGCAAGATCAAGTACTTAGAGGGAACAAGAGCACTGTGCACCCACAGGAGTGCCGGTAGGGGACAAAAAGGGCCCCTTTAAAGCGTCTGAACATGTTCAGCTCTGTGTGACAAAAGCCCTCTGGAGGTCAACCACAGACAGGAAGTAAACAGGGAAGCCAGAGGACTGAACCAGAACTTCGCAAGGCATGTGAACCATGGGAAGGAAGAGGAGTCCTCAACTCTCTAGGAAGAACATCAGTGGAACCAAAAAACTGATCGCAGCCAGCCCCAAATGCTGAAAGAGTCGGAGAAGGAAGGCGCGGTTCGGTTCGGTTCAGTCAGGCCCTGCCTGGCAGGTCCTCCTCTCCATTTCTAGGGTGGGGCACGTCGTGGATCACAGACCCAAGTTGGGCTGGGGAGTGTCGCCTGGCACGGGCTACAGAGCAGAAGCATAAACCGGGCGCATGCCCTCCCCCACCCGCACTGTCCAGCCTGGGTTGCTGTGTTCGAGAAACCCGCTCCTGTGCCCCTGCATTACCAAGCACCACGGTATCACTTGACTGCCTATCACCCTCGATCCGGAAGATGCGCTGTTCACGCCCACTCCGGAGGGGCGGGGCGCTCGCCCTTGACACGTGAGGCACAAGGCGCGAGCTCATTGGCACGCCAGGGAGGCCGGCATGCGCCTGACATACCTACAGGCCCGGATGAGGAAGTAGAGCAATGCCAGGCTGAGGAAGCCAGAAAGCACGTAGAAGGAGCGCAGCAGCACCGGGCCTGACGAGTCCATTGGCCGGTGATGCGTGCTGTTGTGATGTGCGCCTGGCTGGCTCCCGTTCGTCACGGCCTGCGGTGGCGAGAGCGTAGTCTGTGTGAGGCGTGGCGACGAGGAAGCGGCCCCCTGGGTTCCGAAGAACAGCACTGACAGCAGCAACGTAGGCAGGAGCGACCGCGGCGGCAGCACGTACAGCCCCATGGTCCTGCGGAAGTGGTGGCTGCACCCCGCCCCTGCAAGCCCTCGTCACTCACCGGGCAAGGGGCGGTGCCAACCAATGGCCCGCAGGGGCGGAGCTCGGCGCTGGGGGAGCGCCCCGCCCCTTAGGCGCTAACCCCGCCTCCTCTAGTTGTCCCAGTGCTCTCCACCGGCCGGCTGTTCACTCACCTAGGGCTTGGCTGGCGCCCTATGCCTGAGACTCGGTTCCTTCTGGCCCAGAGCACAATGGCTACAACCAACCGGAATGCCCAGTTCAGGGGACAAATCAGAAAAGCTGGGTGACCAGAGTGGGCTACAGGCCACAAGGGAGCCAACACCTTCACAAGAAGGTTCCCAATTGCATAGCGGAGTCAGACTAGGGCAAGGCCACGCCAACTTCAGCACAGTACCCTTGGGGCTCTGGGGGCTCTTGCTGTTCTGGTCCCCAGCCCGGCTCTTCCAACTTCAGGATAGGCCCTCCTGAAGGGTAGGACTGCCTGCTCTAGTCTGGGCATCCTGTCCTCAATGAAGGGCATCTCAGCCATCCTGACGACACTGAATTGACCCCCAATGCTGCCACCACCCTCCCCACCCTGTTATGAGTTCAGCGCACAAACCCAAGGCCTCAGGATCAGGGCCCAACCCCAACTCTCTGCACCCCAAGACCAGAGCAGGAAGCAAGCCTGGCCCGACGGGCAAGCACAGATGAAGATGTTTAAGTTCATTCTGTGCCACTACTTTTGCCAGGACCCTGGCTAAGTAGCTCAGTTGGTTAGAACACTGTCCCTATACACCAAGGTTTTGGGTTCAATCCAGGGTCAGGGCACATACAATGAATGCCTAAGTAAGTGGAACAACAAATCAATGTGTCACCTCCCACCCACCCCCAATATCAATAAAAAGCTGTACTTTTAAAAAACAAAAAACCTTTGCCAGGGTCCTGAAACAGGTGCATATCTCAGATGAGGGAGCACAGGGACCACCACCTCCTCCACTTAGGCTGAGTGTGCCTCCAGACCAACCAAGAAGACAATGAAGTGACTGGTTGGTCTGTTTGGTTTGAGTACAGCTAGTGCCCTGAACCAAAGCCAGAAGAGGCTTTCTCTAGAGGAGCCCCACTTCCCACCCAGCCTCCACCTGAGGCTCAGGGACCCACCCTCCTCGGTCGCACCCCAAACCAGACTCAGATTTCTAGGTAGACACACCAGTCCTTTATTAAAATCTGACTTCCACATCTGTCACACTGTTGCAGGTGAGGACTGGCCACGTGCAGGCTGCCACACACCGTCCTCCTGAGTGACTTGAAACCCTGCACTCCAACCTTGCCAATAAAACACCTGCTGGAAAAATGAAGAAGGAGTGAAGGGAGAACTAAAGCTGGCTCTAGCAGCAGGCACACACAGAAAACTGCCCCCACCCATGCTGTAGGTGAGACAGGAAACCAGAGAGAACCCACAAGGACCAGGCATTGTCAAGGCCAAAGAACCACGTGTCACCCCCCAGAAAAGCACTTACAGGTGACAAGCTGAGAGAGCAGGGGGGTGGGCATCTGGTTCCTGCTCCGAGGTGAAGTCCCTCATGGGACAGGACCCCAGGTCATCACTGTTCTTGGGCCACCTTTCCAAGTTGCACTGGCTTCCCTTCAACCTGCCAAAGCAAAGGAGTGTTACCCCTAGGGTTTTGGACATGCTAATAGCTGCTTCCCACCTCCCCCTAAACCATCCACAGCTCCTAGGAGGGTCTCAAGCTAGTCATTGGGCCATCCTGGCAGAGGCCCTGTCACGGGCTGGTGTGACCAGGGCAAGCCTAAGCCTTGGCCAGGCAGCATTCCATCCCTAAGCAGAGCCAGCTACCCACTTGGGATGGAGCTGCTTAGAGAATGGTGTGGGCTCTAGGAAAAAAAAACTCATGGAGGCAACAGACATCAGAGAGCTATAGTTAGGAATATGAGTTAAGGAGGTCTGGAAAAGACTGTCAACTGATGAACAAAAAATCCGAAGGCAGGATGTTCAGTGCTCTCTAATCCTGCTTACAGATTGAACCTACTCGTGAGGTGAAACTTCCTGGGATGCTCGCCTGGCTGCAGGCAGGGAAGGGCTAAACAGCCGGGGTCTGACTTTAATTCTAGCTTGACTTTTTTAAAAAAAAGAAAGAAAATGGGAAAACAACAACAAAAAAGCAGTCATAAAAACATTCCCAGGCACATAATTTTACTTTCAAATGAGCTCTTGACAAGAGGAGGGATGTGGACACGAGCAAAAGGAGTTACCTCGAATTACAGGGCTATTTCCACATATGAGCTAGCCAAGGGAGCAGCTTGCGTCTCAGAGGTTTCTGTTGGGCGCACAACACTTCTGTCCTCCGAGGGGCTGCAGCTTCCATAGGCTAGCGGAGAACTCTCAGAACTTGTGAAGCAACAGCAGAGCTAGCTAATGAGCAGTCAGTCTGCGGTCGCCCAGGGACACTGCCTGCCGTCTGCTCTCTGGCCTGCTTCTAGGCTAAGGCAGTCGGGTCAACGTCAGGTGCCCGTGTGGGTCCAGTCATTGCTGCACTGCCCGCCCCATTGAGCCCTCCGGCTGCCACTGCCAGAAGCCTCCCAGGGGCTGCCTCAACGTCCAACCTACCCATTCCCGTCAGCCACCTGCTCACCTAACCAGGACTGGTGGCAGTCGGCTGTCACCAGGGGCCCGCCAGTGTCAGTTTACTCTGCCTTCCTGGTCTAGCTCTCCATGGGCCTCAGGCAGGACTCGCAGACCTGCTTCTCAAATTGCCCTCTCTGCTGAGTTCTGAGTGCCAAGAGCTCGCAGCAGGAGTGTGTTGAGCAATGAAAGGGAAATTGTCAGAGCGAGGTTCATTTCAGATGGTTTTTTAATCTGCTTCGTAAAGCCAAAAAAAAAACTGTGTACAAGAATTCCTTAACCACTTCAAATACAACATCAATGGGATATGCATACGTCTTCCAGTAAAAAAGGACAATATAAATAAACATTTTCAAGAACCTCTTGGGGACATCTCCAAGTCTACTGTAAGTCATACACAGCAGATGGGCCGTACAGGCCGGGCCCAAGTGGCAAGGCACCTCTGCTGCCACCTGGGACTTGGGACAGGTCCTACCATGCTACACTCAGAAACGGTACATTAAGTTGGAAAAAAGCCACAGCTCCCTCAGCTTCCAACAGAGAGCAGACTCAGAGTCCGTCCAATCTCAAAGAGGTTTGAATCGGAGGACCCAACTTCACCAGGCCAACCCCACTATAAAGGGAAGTAAAAAAGACAACACAACCAAAAACAAAAAAAACCCACACAACCCCCGATGATTTTCTAAAAAACTCATGGCTCATGGTAAAAAGAAAAAAGTAAAATCTGAAGTGCTTTTCAAAACGTTTTTAAAACCCTTAAAAACGGACAGTGTTTCCTTGAAAAGTAAAGTCTAGTATTGAAGCCATCTCGGGGGTCAGAAGCAGTCAGGCTGTGTTTGACAAGATCAGAACTGATTAGACTACAAAAGTGGGTACAAGGAGGTGTGTTCACTACACATTAACGATTCAGCGAAGCTCCCAAAATCTTTAAATATACAGCCATTGGAAGGACGATCTTGAGCAGGAAGGATTTTTACTCGTTGTGTGTAGCTGAGAACAAGAAGCAGGTACAGTGTAAAAGCACTGAAGCACGCAACAAGAGGCAGCATTCCACTCCCGGGTCCAGATCTGGAGGGCTCGGCCCTGCAGCCTCGGGAGCAACCAACCCCCCCCACAGCCAAGGGCGGCGGGGCCGGGTGGCCGCACATGCAGTTATGCTGCCTGCTTGGCAGGCCCCTCGTCTCCCTTTCCTTCTTGGTCAGTCTGGTCTAGCTTTATGTTTTGTTGTAGAAATGGCTGCTGGCATGGAGACCTGAGAGGGCAATCTCATCCCTTATGGGCAAGCACAGTGACAAGGTCTGAGTGTCGCTCATAGAGGGTGCTGAGGCTTGCTGAGCTCCCACCACTGGCCCTCAGAGCGTGACTTACCATAACTGTCGTAGCTGTCTCTATAGGACCCTCCAGAGCTCCGGTCACCATAGCCACCACCCTGACTCCGGCTGTAGGAAGGACACACGTGGGTGCTGGAAGGCAGCTTAGTGTACTCACCCCAACCCTGTGCCAGCGTCCCAACACAAGCCTCCCACACGCCCAGGCAGGACTAAGCCCTCACCTGCTGTAGTAGTCTCTGGAGCCTCCATAGCCCCCACTTCTGGACTCGAACCGGCTCCCCCCATAGCCTCTGTCCCCTCCTCCTACAGAGACAGGAAAGACAAGTGAGTGCCAGCTCCTTCCAGCAGTGCTCCCATCATGTCCTCAAGGGCCTCAGGCCCCAAGAGTGGCACTCACCTCTGGAGAAACCACGGCCCCGGCCTCGGCCCCCACGGAAGAAGCCCCGGCCCCCAGCAGAGCCACCTCGGTACCCACGGGATCGGTTATCAGATGACTTGCCAGCCTGGTCAACTCGAATCTGTCGCCCGTCCACAGACTGTGAAGACCAAGAGGTTGGCTCAGGTCAACCTCTGAGCCTCCCTGTCCCGCAAGCCTGAACCCTTTCACCCCCAGACAGCTGCCCCTCACCTTCCCATTCATGGCCATCATTGCATCTTTGGCATCGTCGATGTTCTCAAAGGTGACAAACCCAAAGCCCCGTGACCGCTGGGTCTCCCTGTCTTTCACGACCACCACTGTGGAGGGAGAAGTCTGCAGTCAGCACTTAACCTCCCCAAAAGCAGCCCTGATCAGCCGCTGCCAGTCCAGCACTGCCTCACCTTCAGAAATCTGTCCATATTTTGAGAAGACCTGCTCCAGCGACTGCTCATTGGTGTCAAAACTCAACCCTCCAACGAAAAGCTTGCCTTCATCTGATGCCATGGTGGCCTGTGGCAAATTGTTGAAATCCTCACTGAGATCCTCCAGGGCTTCATCGCTCACCCCCCACCTCCTATTTTACTTTATACAAATGACATATGCTTGTTGGGGACACATTGAAAAATTGTCTTTCTGCCATTTATCACCCCAAGCCCACACCCAGAACTTAATTTTAAAAAGCTGTTAATCCCTTTATCACCCAGGGCCCCGTCCCTACTCAGGTCTCCCTGAGAGCGGGCCCGGTTTTCATACTCCTCAGTGAAGCACTGTGGACCCCAGGTGATGCCCTCAGGAGATATTTAGGGCTGGGCACTAAAGGCATGCAGGTATCTGCCTCCCTCGTCACCCATCGAGTGCACCTTGGTTCTCCCCTTTACAAACAGACGCCTAACTCCTAACAGGACCACTGGGGTGCGGGATGGCAAAGTGCTTGGTCCACCACAGGACGCCTGTGGGGTGGCCGGGTACTGGACCTCTGTAGGGAGTTGGGCAGAGTCCCGACGCGGGGGGCTCCAACGTGAAGGGGGCAAGTGGGCCGGTGGTGACTTGGACCGACCCTTCCCAGACTGGGGAAACCTCTGCCACATGTCTCTAGAACCACACGACTCGAAGCCCAACTTGGGGTGCCGAAAGGAGAGTGGGACACGGGGACGAAGGCTGTACTCCCCTAGTGCAAATCCAATGGGAAACCGGGGAAGCGGGAGCCTGGACCGCCCCCAGGTCCGCCCCGGCCGCACGCATGCGCCCTGCGCGCGCCCTGCGCCACTCCATCCGGGCACTTGGCGCTCCCGCCATTTCGCGGGGCGCAGCCTCGCGCTCGCAGCCGCCATTTTGCGGTGGCGCCCCGCTTTGGGCGAGCCTAGGCCTCTAAGGGGACGCCCTCAAGCTGCGGCTCGGCCCGGTCTACGGCTGCCCCTCGCCGCCGGCGGGGCGGACTCCACCCTGGGCCCGCCCAGGCACCACCCCTGCCCAGGGGCGTGCCACCGCCGCCCTGCCTCATCCGGCCGGCCCCAGGCCGCCCGCCGCCCGGGGCCCTCGGAGCCGGTGCCGCCGGGACCCTCACCACTGAGTAGGGCAGGTCCCTGACGCAGGCAGGAAGACGACGGTGCGAAACGACCAGAGCCTCCTAACGTGCGAGTGAGGGGGGTAACCGGGCGCCTGGCCTTATGTACGCCGCCTCCTGGCTCCGCCCCCGGGTGCCACCCCCTGCTCCGCGTTGGCCAATCCCAAGCCCCATAGGCAGAGGCCGTGCCTCATATTCATGAGCTGTGGGCCGGGCTCGTCTAGGCCACGCCCCCTTCCGCGCGCTAGCGACAGGCAACGTGATTGGTGGGGACGCGTGCATCCGCGTCCCCCGCCACCTGCGAGCGGGGGGCGGGGCCAGCGGGCAGCGGGGCGGGGTCGACCCACTTCCGGGAGCCGGCTCCGGGTCTAGAACAAAGGGCCCTCCAGCCGCAGTTGCCAGAGGCTGGAGCCCCAGAGAACGCTGATGGTTACGTGAATCGCGGACATACCGACCTCACTCAGGTTCCTATAGACACCGAAGCCCAGTTCTTTTTTTTTTTTAATATATTTTATTGATTTTTTTACAGAGAGGAAGGGAAAGAGATAGAGTTAGAAACATCAATGGGAGAGAAAAATCGATCAGCTGCCTCCTGCACACCTCCTACTGGGGATGTGCCCGCAACCAAGGTACATGCCCTTGACCGGAATTGAACCTGGGACCTTTCAGTCCACAGGCGGATGCTCTATCCACTGAGCCAAACCAGTTAGGGCCCGAGGGCCAGTTCTGACACCCAATTTCATCTGAACCCCGACACCAGTCCACATAACCAACACCCACGCAGTTCCAGGGCTCAAAGCTCCTGAATACACCAGTTCAGGTGATATGCCGCAAACCCCACCAAAACCCCACTACTGAGACAAGCTCATTTATATGGGCCCCAATATTCACCACCATTCCAATTCTTCCTACTTCCCAACTTTGGGGCATCCCAACTTTACCCAACCAAGTTTGTCTACAAATCCCGACCCCTACCCACACCCAACTCCCATCCAATCCTGGCTTCACCTCATCCACACCCCAATACTCACCTGGCCATATACTTTTGTGCATCCCAGCTCTCGACCACAGGCTGACCCCCACCTTGCCTCTCAAGCCCACAACTGGGCCATCCTGGAGTCTTCACTGTAGACTTACGTTCAGCTCAGCCCTGGCTTCCCCTCTACCAGGTGCTCCAGCACCCCTGCCTCAGCAAACCCAGAACCCACTCACTACCCATGGGGGCGCCGGTGCCACTCTGCTCCTCCTCCTGTGTCGTTTTTCCTGTCTTTTAAAGGTGTCCCAAGATCTCTGCTATCAGGAGAACCATCTTTACAGAGAGCCTTACACCTTGGAAAGCCCCTCGGGGCAGAGGAAGTTAGTGCAGAACCTTGCCTGCCAGACCAAAGACCCTAGCGAGAGTCTTCAGAGAAGACACCCCAGAGAAATTCCAGTCTCACTCTAGATCTCTCAGGTGGATCTAGCTGATGCAGCAGGGACCTGCCTGGGAACAGACACTGTCTCCTGTGATACACAGTCTTGGGAACCTCTCTCCCAGGTACCAATTCATGACTCATCGTGGTCCCCTCTGCAGCTTGTCCCCCCACGTCACAGCCCCTCTACATTACTCCCAGTCAGCAGCAGCCTACTGCTGTGTCAGCCACTTATGCAAGGTGGTTATTAAAAGGAGCAAAGAAAGATAACAGCACTCAGCTCCCTTTCCTGCTGGCCGCCTGTGGGGAATCTGAGGCCAGGGTTCCCTAGCCCGGGAGCAATTCCTGCTCACCCTTTCTGATCTGCTTCCCCAGAAAAGTCAGGTTGGGCGTTTCCTTGTCCCGGCTCAGACCAGGGGTTCCCAGGACCACTGTGCCCTGATCACCCTCTGCTCCTCCCCCTTCCGCTTTGCACCACTTTCTGTGGTTCAGAGTTGCCCTGGTTTCTTGAAGTGTCCTGTTCATTCATTCATTCCACCAGCACACAATTATTAAGCGTTTACTACAATCCCGTTGCTGGGTACGGGCTGCACACCTGCGGATACCAGTCACTAGATGCACCGGGCATTGTGTGGGAATTGTGTACTTGCGTCACAGGTGTGTAACCTGTCTCCGTACCTGTTTCTGTGGTAACCTGTGTCTGCTTGTTCCTGTGACTCGGTGCGTAATCAGAACAGTGTGTCTTTCGTGGGGTGCTCTCAGGGGGCTGCAGCCGCTGCGTCACGCTCACGCCGCGGACACTAGGGGGCGCTGCGGCCTAGCTGTCGCCTTGACCCGGGTCCCGCCATGCAGTCTGGCTGCCCGCCTCGTGTTTCAGCGTGGGAGAGGGTCCCGTCTCGCCCCACGCCTCAGCCCGAGCCAGGAAGGGTGTGTGGCCCGGGAGGAGGTGGCTCAAAATAGCCGCGGGCGGGGGCGAGGCTGCTATTTGTGGCCGGGAACGCGCGGTGCTCGCCGCCTGCCTGGCGGGGATGGAGGATTAGGCCGGGAGGACCCGGTCGGCTCATTCACAAATAGCCCCTCCCCAGAGGGCCGCCGTGGAGGGGGCGCCGGCCTCCTGAATCACCCAACTTTGGTCCCCGGGCTGGGTTCTCCACTCTCCGCCCCGGCGTCGCCAAGGAGACGGGGGTGTGGCCGCCGAGCTCTCGCACCGCCCCCTCCGCCCTCTCCACAGTGCCCCACCCGCGGGTTGCCGGATCCTACCCCCACCCAAGCTAATGAACAGGCGGAAGGCTCTATTGAGGGTCTGGGGCCAGGACCGGAGTGGCTGGGATGAAAGACGCTTGTATTTGGAAGAGCCGGGTACCGCGTAATAACCGCCCCCTCCCAGCCTGCCAGGCGGGGGCCGGTTGGTGCACCTGGCGGCTGCCGAGCGGGGGCGCAGAAGCGGGATGGTCCTGGCCCAAATCCGTGGGGTCCAGAGCCAGGGTGGCGGAAGCGGAGACTGAATGTGTGCGGGAGTTGCCAGGTGTGGTGCACATGTGTGCCCGTGGGCAGTGGACTCGTGGGTACAGAAACAGAGAAACAAGTATTCCTGGGGACGCTTGCGTGGACACGAAAATGGGGCTATGTGCGTGTGCACACGGGATGGCTGTGTGTGCATGGAACTCGTGGGCAAACACGTGGAGGTGTGTGTGATCACATATGAAAACATGCTTGCATGACACACCACATGTGAAAGATCACGGGGGAGGGGGGTTGTGTGCAATACGGATGTGGATGTGGGAAAGTCAGAGACAGGGCTGGGTATACATGACTCTCATGGGCTGGGGCTCACAAAGCATATGTGTCCATAGCTGGTAGCATGAGTTATGTCCCTGGGATGGGCACACAAGCTGTGCATCAGCAGTGGCCAGGGTCTCTTTGGGCAGAGGAGAGACACAGGAGGCCAGAGCCAGGAGGAGGAAGGGTTAAACTGCTCTCCACCCAGTTCAGACCTGCAGGAGGAGGTGGGGGCTTCTGATCCTAGCAGGCTCTAGGTGGCTGCCAACTGTGAACAGAAGAGATTTAGCTGTCTCCGGCTGGGCTCAGTTTCTCTCCTGTTTTCTAGGAGGGGGTATTCCACGTGGAGGGAGATGCACAGGGCAGGGGGACACCTGGTAGAGCTGCCTGTGACTCACCGCCCAGGACTGCAGAGGCTGGTTCTTCTGCACCTGCGCAGGCCCCCATCCCAGAGTGTATATGCCAGGCCGTGACCCCAGTCCCCATTAACTGCATGCACCATGTGATGGGCTGCAGAATGGGACCCTAAGGGATTCAAGGAGACACAGATCTTGTATATTCGCCCCCACCTGCTCCTGGGTAGAAGGCCTGTGGGAGCCACAAGCCTGACTCTTCTGTCACACACACGTTTGCTCTTTCCCCATTTCATGATGCTCCAGAGACCTGGATGGCGGTCCCTTCTGCTGAGGGAAACTGAGGCACAAGCAGGATGGTAAAGGCAGTGATGAGCAAGCACACACCAAAAACATGCATTCAGGCATAGGACCTGTATCAGAAGGAGCTAATCCCGAGGGATGCCCTGTCCACTTGACCTTGGCCCCACACACAAGATGTCATTACCCACACACAGGCTCCATGCAGGCACAAGGGGCTTATGGCATCTCCATGGCAGCACTGGAGTGACACAAAGGTAGAGTGCCCCCTCCCCTGACAGCTGCAGGGATTCAGGGAAGAGCTGTGCGGCAACCAGCCCACACATGTGCCCACACCCCCCTGCACCTGTCCCCACCAGAATCACCTGGCGAGGCTCCAGTTGGGCCTGTGTGGGTGCGTCTGTAGCTGAGTGCTGGGTGTGTCTGGGGAGGACACTGCCTTGGGTGAGCAACTCTTCCAGGACCTGGGTGCCAGCTGCCAGTGTAACTTCCAATTTTGTACTTTTCTTAAGGGAGATCTTGTCTAAGCTAAGAGTTGAGGTGCAGTTTGATTTGAGGGTCACTCAGTTGACTGAGGTTGTGGTGGGACCAAAGTGTGGGTTGGAGCTGGTTTGGGGGTGTGTGGGGGTGTTGTGTATTAGGGTTGCTACATTGCAGAGCAGGGTGCTGATGAACTGTGAAGAAGGGTGCTACATGTGAGTGTCCAGCAAGAAGGTGGATTAGTCTATCTGGGGCTGTGAGGGGCCCTGTGTGGGAGTCTGAGGTGGTGTTGTTTCTCCAGGAGGCCTGTGGGGAGCATCTGGGGAGTGTGTGTGTGGGAATGCAGTTGGGACCAGCCTGTGGGGGCTGCCTTTCCCTGCCACTTCCTGGGACTGGCCCTGCTCACATTCCAGAAGGGTTAGGGGATACCCTCCCCACCCCTATCTGCTCCCAGACCTGTAACCTTGGTCCAAACCCCACTCCCTTGGTCCTGGGCACCTAAGGCAGCAGTAGCTGGCTCCAGGGAGGGGCACTGAGGTGGGGGTGGAGGCCAGAATGTGCCAAGCATGAGGAGGGGGCTTCCAGAGATGGGGCGGAAGTAGTGGAGGGGCTGGTGGGACAGAGACGAGATGAAAATAGGAGACCCATACAAGAACAAAGACAGGCTGAGAGGCTGAGCAGGGCAAAAAGAAAGGGGATGAAGACAGAGAAAGAGAACTGGGCAGAAGGAGGAGAGGTAGGCAGAGAAGGATAGAGACCAGGGGCAGACATGAGGCAGTTGGACACAGGATCAGGGTAGGGCAGTTGGGAAGCAGGGCCCCAGGTGACAGTGGCCCTGCCCCCACCCACAGGCGGGCTGCTCACCTGGTTAGAATTACACCAGAGGCCACTGGTCCTCTGCCTTCCCAGGGTTGGGCAGCCGTGGGTGGGACTGGAGTCAAGACTCCTGGGTTGGGCCCCAGCACCCTTGGCTTGGTAACTCCCATTCCCAATGAGCCTGCAGAGAAGGGCGGATTCCACTAGGTCTGCTGGGGGTGGCTGTTCCCCGGGGCACTTGCCCAGTGCTTGGGGTGCAGCTGTCCCTGGTGGCATACCACTCACTCCCATCTCACCAGAAGGCTCCTGGCCAGGGGCCTGGCTCCCTAATGTCTTCCCCAAGCGACCCAGGACTGACTCTGGCCTTTGGCATTTCAACACCACCATGCAGCTAGCCACCGTGACCCATTTGGCCACCCCCAGAGGACTCTGGCCTCAAGTAGAAAGCCATGACCCCAGTGACCTTTTCCTGACCACCCACAGTGGCCTCATCACCCCAGGAGCACGGCCAACTTGTGAGCCACCACCTGCATTCAGGTTCCACACCTTGGTGTCCACACCAACCAGTCAACACCACCATCCTTGACCCTCATCTCAGTCTTAAGCTCTTTGCCTTGGACCAATGGTTTGGCTCACATCCTCCCCAACTGGCAAAGCCTACCCTGTTCACACTGACTGTTGACTTCTCTGAGTGACTTCTGGTCACAGAACTAATCTGAGCCACACCCAGGCAGCGACATGAACTTCCTGCCACCCTAACCTCTCCCTCTCGGGTCCTCAACAATCTCTGCCTGGAGGCTGGCCAGGTGCCAGGAGCTCATAGGGGCACCTTCCTCCAGTCTCCCAGCTCCCTGCAGCCCTTTTGCCAGTCATCTCTCTGAACAGGGGGCCCCTTCAGAGGAGGCTCCAGCCCCACTTGTCCCTTCTCAGGCCTCTCCCCTAAGGCCAGGCCCAGCGTCCAGCCACTGTCCGTCCTGGATGTTCTGGCTTCTGCTCCCTTCACCTGACTCCTGCTTTTATGTCTCCTGGTCTTTGCACGCGCCTGGGGCCCCCGTTGCCTCTTCCTCTATTTGTCAAACTCCTATTCCATGGGCAAAGCCTCATTCCAAGTGTCCTCTTCCCATTGGGTCTCCTGGGCTTCCCAGCTTGGGGACTGCAGTACTCCTCCAGCCTGGGGTCACGCACACGGGGACGTTGGGGAGGGGCCCGCAGTCAACACCTGGGCGTAGAAGAAGGGGCGCACTCGAGCGCGCCGAGGCAGGAGGGGGTGGGGGGCGGGGCACGGGCGGCGCCCCCGGACCCGCCTCCTCTTCCGTCAGAAGATATCCGCCGGCGTCAAAACTGCGGCCAGAGGGGCCTAACGCCTCCGCGCCACACGGGCGCACTCGGCCCGGCCGGGGCTCGGTCCTGCCTCGGGAGGCAGCCCCGCCCCCTGTTGGTGTGTGCGAGGCCCGGCGCGCACCCACCGAGGAGGCGTCACCGGTGGCAGGCGGGGCCTGGGCCGCCGACGCGCGGTAGGGGGCGGGCGGGGCGCCCGCTGTACGGTGACGTAAGAGCCCTGCCAAGGCGCGTTGCCCTGGAAACCACGTTTCCATCCCTGTGGTTTCCGGGGCCGCCTCTTCCCATTCATCTTTTTCGTTAATGGGGGAGGCGGCGGTTCAGGGCCAACCCCAACACTTGCGGCCCCAGTAGTCCCTGCTCTCCCTGGGCCTCAGTTTACCTTTCCGTGCCTCCTACTCCTGCATGGTCTGACCTCCCGCCGCTGCAACACCTCGGATGGGCACCCCCACCCGCACTTCCTGTAGGTGTCTGCACTGCGGCCCTCAGCCCCAGGCGGGGTGGAGTCTTCTTAGGACCCCTGGGCAGGGCCGTGACTCTTGATTCCGGGGCTGCGCCCAGAGGGAGTAAGTTCCGGGGCATCAGGGCAAGTGTTCCCCGCCCTGCATTGTGCATACACAGCCCCGTGATTCAGCGTGTTCCTGAGTGGACACCCTCCCTCTGCATCCCCCACCCAGCTCTGCGGTGGTCACAGCGCTAGGCCCTTACCCTCCCCCTCCCTCCAGCCGGATTGCGTAGGTGGGGGTTCCACCTGAACTGCCCCACCCACGCTTCCACCACCGGCGGGGGCGTTTGCTCCGTTGACACAGGTCTGAAGTGATCAGCCTGACCTGGACACCCTGATTCCTTTTTGCTGTGAGCGGGCAAAGATGATTTGGGGGTGAACGGACGGTGGGAGGGGCCCCAGTGCCTCCACAAGATGCCTCCACGGTATTTCTGGGAGGGAACCCTTCCCTTCCTTCTGGGGTCCCAGGGAGCTGGGCCTTGGGAGGGCAGGAGCTTGGGCCATCAGAAACCAGCCCGGGAGGCCTGGCCAGATACCTGTGAGAACATCTTTTCATATACCAAGATTTCGGGTTAGATTCCTGGTTAGGGCACAAACAAGAATCAGTGAATGCATAAAATAATTTGAGCAAATTGATGTTTCTTTCTCCCTTCCTCTCTCTAAAATCAATAAATAGAAATTAAAAGAATCAACCAATGAATGCATAAATAACTGGAACAACAAATCAATCTCCAATTTAAAAAATTGGCCAGGGGTGGGAGTCACCTCCTGGACCAGTGTTTTCTCCTCTATGAAATGGGAGGTGTTAATTATCTTAGGTAGCAGTACTTGTGAAATGAGGAAATCCATGTAAAGTAAATGATTGTCCTGTGTCTGTCCAACCCCAAGTAGATGAAGGTGAGATCCCAGAGAAGTGGGAGACACAAACTGAGAAACTTCCCAGGCCAAGAGAGGGTTGTTCCTGGAGGCTGGATGCATGAAGGTCAGGGTTGGGGAGTGCTGGAATGCAAGGCCAGGGAGAGTTCACACTGGGTCTGGTGGCCTTGCACAACAGCCCCAGGCCCTGGGAATGATGGATTCCTTACTAGAGAGGGGGTGGGGAGTCTGGTGGTATCCTGGGAGGGGGCTCAAGTCTGGGCCAACCAGAGCAGGGAATTGAGAGGGTAAGGCCCCACACATCCCCTACCCATACCCTGGACTTCGGGCCTTGGGCACTGGTGGCGGCCTACCTGCCACTCCTCTGCAGGGGTAGCTTCCTGCTCACCCTCACCCTCAATCAGGGAGGGGGCCTGGGATGTTATGAGATCCACTCACACCCAAGATGGTGGGAGACCCAGCATGCCACCTCATAAAGGCACCCCTCCCAGGCATGTAAGACCACTAGTTATCAAGCTCTGGAACAGCCCTCCCTCGCCCCAGGGGAGCAGGAGGGACTTTCACTTGCGTCTTTTTATTACTTGAAATCATGGTGTTGGTGTTTGTGTAGGCCTTTTTTCATACAGAAAACTCACGAAAAGTGCAGGCACACCCCACAGCCCGACCCCAACCCCCAGGACTGGTAATGCTTTCTTCAGGGGCTGGGCATGGTGAGGGAGGGGGGCCGGGCAAGGGTGGTTCCTGCCTGGGCGTATAGACATTACTTAAAAATTGTTCAAAATAAAAGAGAACACACATTTAAATAGGTATCCAAGACAGTTTTTCAAAAACAAATCTGCCCCTCTTCTCTCCTTTTAGAAAAAACAAAACAAATCTCTGACCCCTAACTTTCTGACCCCTCCTCCCCGCCCACCCCCCCCCACAAAAAAAATTTACAGAGCTACAGTTAACACATGATGTTCACATCTGAAACCATTAACTTGAAACACATATGGGGAAGGAGTGAGGACCTGGGGGAGTTCATCTACAAGTAGGACAAAAGGAAGGAGACAGGCAGGGGGTGGGGTATCCTGCAGGACAGACAGGTGTGTGTGGGGGGAAGGCCCAGACATCTCCATTTATCAGTAAAAAAAAGTGAATGAAAAATAAACTCCACCCACATTGAAATGGCCCCAATTAAGGGGAGGTTCCTGTCCCTCTGCTCTGGGGCGGAAGACCCCTGGGGCATGGGCATGAGTGGGGAGGTTCCAAATTAGACCAGCAGCAACCCTCCCAAGGGGTTAATGCTACAGTGTAGCCCCTAACCATGAGATTCACAGCTCAGCACCCCCTCCCCTCCAGGTTGCAGGAGAGTCACCCCGACAGTCCACAGGCCCAGATCACTCAGGTTGGGCTGAGAAGTAGGGCTGGGGGCATCTCCCCGACCCCACAGCAATTTCTCTCCTGATTTTTCAAGAGATTCCCAACTACTATTGGCTCAGTCAGAAAATTAACAGTCTATAAATACCCAGAGCTCAGGAAAAAAAAAAAAAGATGTGGGGTTGGAGAGTAGCATCAGAAGAGCGTCACACAGTGCGTGGCCAGCAAAGGCAGGCAGCAAATCTGTTCCCCTCCGTCCCTTCTCTGCCAGGAAAGGGTACTGACTACACCCAGACCCGCACTCCAAGGCAGGTTCTGGCCAGCCTCCCCTGAAACAGCTTTTCTTTTCCAGGAAAAAGAAACTAAGAAGAGAAAGTAGTACAGACGTGGAAGAGACAGCCCCTGGTTGGTGCAGCTGTGGGTCCTGTGAGGTGTTTGGAGCCCCGCGGGGCCCTGCTGGGTAGGCGGAGACCAGAATTGGCAGTGGGGGTTTTCTTCTCTGTGGCCCCCTCCTGTCTGTAAAGTGCAAATGAGGCATCTACATTTTAGACTTAAACCTGAAGGGGGGTGGGGGGGTGGAGCATCAGAGCTGGCGGAAGGGGGGGCTTCTTCCTCATTTCTGCTCTGAACCATCTGGACAGACTGCTACATATTTGGAGCTTGGGAAGGTGGGCAGGGAAGGACCCTGCGTGGCTGAGGGAGGGTGGGGGTACAGAGGAAGAGGTGGGGAGATGTGAGGCTGAACCGAGGAGGCAGGAACCCAAGGCCACGGAGGGTTTGGAAAACCATGGTAAGAAATGAAAATTTTAAAAAACCAGGACGCTGGCTGAAGAGGGAGGGGCCTCCTGCAGTGCCCACTGCCTGCCCTCCTGAGCTGGGCGATGCTCTCAGCCACCCTGGGCAGGGGTGAGGGACAAGGTTTCTAGGCCACCACGAACTCTGACTTGATGTCGGGGTTAACTTCTGGCTTCCAGACAGATTCCTCGAAGTCAAGGCCCAAGCCCGCAGCCTCACTGGGGCTGCCACCACTGCCTCCAGGGCTGCTGTCGCTGCGGCCGGCCTTGCGGCTGGGTGGCCAGTGGTAGGGGCCTCGGGCATCCCTCCGAGCCTTTCTGCGGAGCCGTTTCTGCTGGAGCAGCAGCTGCAGGCGCTCCACCTTGCAGCGGGTGGCTCGGTTCTCCGTCTGCCGCAGCCGGTCCCCTGTAAAGGAAGCAATGACCATGACCCCCGGGGAGAGGCTGGACCCCCAGCAAATGCCCCCCAGCATTAGGCACAGTCCAGGGCCTCCTGGACACTAGTTCCATTGAGGGAGTTGATCAAGAGTATCCAGGGAATGAATCTCCAGCAGACTCCTGGGAGCTGTGGGTTTATTAAAACTTGTCTGAAAGTCCAGCACACCAGCTGTGAGCCCTGTGAGGGCAGGGCCGTGTCCAAGACAAGCACTCAAGACACAGTCACCGCATGAATTAACTGCAGCTCGAGCCCTTCCAGCTGCTTCTGTGACAGAGGAACTCGAGCTCTGGCCATGGTTTCCCCTTCGTGGCTTGGGCTGGGGGCCCACTGGACAGAGTGGCATCACCAGTCTGCGAGACTCCGGATTCATAGGGTAAAAACAAGTGGGGGAACACGGGGCCATCGAGGAGGGGAAGCCAGCCCCCTCCCTTCGCCTGGCTGGGCCATTCACAGAGGCTCCACCTGCCATCTGGAGAAAGTGCCCGAGGAGGATGTGAGGAGGAACCCCACTCCCCCTCGGGAGGCACAAGGACACTTTGTGTCCCCAACACACACTCCCTTCTCTTCAGGCTCTTTCAGAGCAGGCCGAACGGCAGCTGGTGCCTCCCCAGCCTGAGGTGGGTCAGCTGCTCTGAGCTGCACACAGAGGGGCCTTGAGCGGTGAGAATGGGTGGGGCGCCTTGGACACTCACCCGTGGGCTTGCCCAGGCGGGCCTGGCTCAGGGCGGCCGGGGCCGAGGCCACCAGCTTCTCACAGGAGGTAGTTTTTGGGGTGAGGTCTGAGGCAGGAGAGGCAGGTGCACACTGGGCGTGGCAACGCAGTTGGGTCAGTGACGGGGGCATGCCCTGGTAGTGCCGCGTGGCACTCAGGAGGTCGTTGAGGATCTGCAGGATGGTGCCGATGTCCCGCCGCGGCCGCCCACTGCTGTCCTGGCAATTGGGGTGCAGCGTGCCTACAGGGGGCAGAGCGTCTTGGTGAATGCCCAAGGGATGGGACCCTGGGGCAAGAATGACACAAAGACTCCCACCCACACATGGGTACACACAAAGCCTGCTGTGGGGTCACGATCTGAGGGTGGGATGGTGAGCGTCCCACCCCTGAGGTGTGTGCATGTGACCACTGCTGGGACAACATAGAAGCCATGACACCTACCAGAGAAGGTCCCTGAGAAGACCCCTGGGGCATGGTTCACGAAGCTCTCGATAATGGCACCAGGTTTTCGGGAACGGGAGGTGGGGCTGCCCCCAGGGGTGGATGTGGGGCTGGCCCGGGCACTGGCAGCAGGGGAACAGTCCATCTGCTGATGGAATAGGGGGACATAGCTTAGGGTATAAAAAAAGGCCTTGGGGTTCAGGGTCCGGGACCACCCACCAGCCCAGGATCCAGCGATGGCCTTTGAAACATGCAGTAGGGGCTCTGAGTCCCTTCTCCACCCCCTCCAAACAGCCCACCCTTGGGTTTGAAGGATAAGCCCTTCCCAGACTCACCTCGGGGCAGGTGGTGGGGGCTGAGTGGGAATGGAAGGAGCCGGCTGTTACAGGTGAGGGGGATGCAGGTGCAGGGCTGGTGGGCACTGGGGGGACACGGACAGTACTGGACACTGGCCGGCAGGGAGAGGACACAGGAGTGGTCATGCTGGGGTCCCCACGGGTGGCAGCGGTTGCAGCTGCCAGCACATGGCGGTGTTGTAGTGGGGCGTGCTGGGCCGCAAGTTGAAGCTGGACGAACATCATGTGGTCACCCACTCGAAGAGCCAAGGTCAGCGGTGAGCGGCCTGACAAGAAGTCACTGACCTGCAGAGAGTGGCCCGTCAACCCCAGGGTCCCAGCCCTAGGCGCCCAGCCCGTCCCGGCCCAGCCCCCCCACGCTGTGTGACCTGGGGCCTCTCGCCGCCCCTCTCTGGGCTCTGGGGTCCCTGTCGGTGCCACGGATGCTTAAATAAAATGAATCGGTATTTCCGGAAGCCGCCTCCGCCAGCCCGGCCCGGCCCGGGCGCCGCTGGGGGCTGTGGGGGACAGAGGCAGGTCAGACAGGGGGGCCTGGCCCTCCTTGGCCAGCTTGGTTCTTTTAAGGGGAAACTGAGGCCAGAGGGGGCGGGGCCTAGCCAGAGGTCACTGCCCTCAAATAACCCTCACCTTGTGCCTTTCCCCACCCTCTCAAACCCCCAGATCCTCTCTGCCTATGATTATGAGAGACCTATCTCAGGCCCCCTCCCAGTTAAGACACAGGGGTGGGCAGCAAGTGGGTGGAATTGCCGGACAAATTCTTCATCCTAACCTTTGCTTTCTCAAGATAAATATTTATCTGTCCTGGGCGGGGCAGAGGCTGAGAGAGAGGCGTCACTGTGGGAAGGGGCCCTGACTGGTTCCCTGGAGCCAGGGTCCCGCAGGGCCTGAACACAGCCCATGCAAACATGAACCTTCCAATTGGGGTCCCCCTTCACCGAGGGTGTGAGGTGCCTCTGACCCGTCTGCAGTGGGGCCTGGCTAGCACAGAACTGTCCCCAGGGGCCGGGCTGGGGTGGGTGCGGGGGGGAGGTTTCTGAGAAGTGACAGAGGCTGGATGACTCAGAACAACCGCCTCCCAGCTCTCCCCTGGCAGCGGCTGGCGTAACCTTCTCTGCTTGGGGGCCTTGGGGAGGAGGCGAGGGAGGCAGGCAGTGAGAAGCCCCCACCTCCCAGCCCAGTCTGCATGACCCTCCCCCACCCCCAGAAATGCCCCTTGCAGAAAGGGCCTGGGGTAGCTCCCAAGAGCAGCTGGGTCACCCCCCCACACCCACTCCCTCCCGCAACTTCCTCCCTGGGGAGGGCAACCGGGCAGGCATGATGTGGTGCCAGGCAGGGAGCAGCCCTGGGAGCCCAGTCAATCCACCCAGCCCCCCTCCCTATCTCCCTCGCAGGCACCCCGGGGCGGATGTGAACCAAACACAGAGGGCCCCCCTGGCAACCACATCACCCCCCCAAGAGTAGGGAGCTCAGTTCACATCTGCCCCAGGAAATTAGGAGACACCCTGGGGCTCCCAGGACTCCTGTTCTTCCCCACCTGGCTGCCCCTCCTGATGGCAGACCACCCAGCTACTGCTCTCCCCCCTCTTCCACACTAGCCGGCTGGTGAGGGCAGGATGCTACATGTCGGGGAGGGGGCGAGGGCCTCAGGCAGGAGGAAGGGAAGCGGCTGAGCAGGTTTCCTGCGGCTGGCCAGCCCAGACAGGGAGGCCTAGAACCTGCCCACCCCCTCTAGGGGAGGGCAGCAGCCTGCTTCCCCCACCCTGGCAGCAGGCGGATAGCTGAGGCCTGTGTCACCCTCCTGGGAGGAGGCCCTGCCGCCAGAAAAATGAGAAAAGGAGGGGGGAAAGGCTGCAACAAAACCGGGAACCTGGGTGTGGGCCAGCCCAGGCCTCCCTCCTCATCTTCCTCCAGGCTGCTTACTAAATATTTTCCTAACATCCTGTGTTGGCCTCGCTGGGTGCCTGGTTGCCCCCACCCTGCCCCTCCCCTCCCCTCCCCTCCCCTTTTGGGGCAGAGAACAAAGGCCAGAAAGAGGAGGGGGAGGGGTGATTACCCACCCCTCACAATGGGGTCACGAAAGGCGGAAGGAGTGTCACCCAGGCCAGCCCCTCCCTCTCCCCACTAGCAGAAATTTTATAAAGGTCGCTCTGGGGAAACTTCAGTGGCCCTGGAGGGGGGGCACTCAGGGACACAGGCCCCGGGGGTGGGAGCCTGGGCTAAGGTCACCCGCAGGCAGGCTTGTGAAAGCTGGGCCCCCATCCCCCATGGCAGCCACCGTGGGAGAGAAGGCCCTCAAGGTCAGGTGGTGAGTGCTTGGGGGGAGGAGGAAGAGGAAGCTGGGTGACCAGGCCAAGCTGGCAAGAAGGCGGAGCAGCTCCAGTCCCCTCCCACAGGCCTCCTCCGAACAGAAACAACCCCAGGCTCTCCAGAGGGGTTGGGCTCGGGGCCTGCTAGCCCCTGGGCGAGGAGGGGCGGCACTTGAGTCTCACCTGGGTCTCTGTTAAGCTCTCCAGAGCCTGCATCACAGACTGTTCTGGCCTTGAGGCCTGAGACTACAAAGAGAAGGAGGGGAAGAGACCCTGAGTATGCATTCTAGGTTGGGCACCTGGGCACAGGGGCTGGGAGGGCCCTGCTAGGTGGGGGGGAACCCAGACAGGTGTGAGGGGGACCATGCTGGCATGAAAGGGCGCTGCCCTCCCATGTTGGGGCCTCCTCAGCCATTTACCATGAGGCCCGCCTCCACGGTGGGCACGAGAGTCAGCTTGCTGCCATCCCCCACGCCGAACTCCTGCAGCTTCCCCGAACTGAGCCGGCTGGTGGGGTGGGGTGGGGAGGGGGAGGAAGGAAGAGGGTGAGGCTACAGCAGAGACCAGGCAGGGACGCGGAAGCAGACGCTGAGGGAGTGCTTGCTAGGGAGACAGAAGTCCTCCCACCCCCATCTCTACCTGGCCGCTAGACCCTGGGCCCTGAAAGTGGGGGCGAGGCTCACTATCTGGTCCTGGGACCCCATGCTAGTGGTTCAGACCCCTTCTCTCAAGGAACCCCAACTCTGGAGTGGGGCACCCCCTTTGCACCTCAGCAAGACACTTTTTTTCCTTACCCGGGCCCCACTTTGCCCTGTGACACCCTCCCAGCCACCCCAGGGCCAGCCCTGCCGGTAATTCACGAACTCCAGCCCTGGGCTCCTCTTTGTGGGGCCACAGGACGTAGCCTTCAGGGGCTTTGCCCGGCAGGGCTCCCCCTCCTCCCTCCTTCACTGGCGTAGGCAGCCGCCGTTCAGACAAAGGAGACCCTCCCCCTCTTGCCCCTCCCCCACCGAGGCCCCTCCGCTGGGGATGGACACAGCGAGTCCCCGGAGGCCAGCGGGAGGAGGGCTTCCCAGCCTGGAGGCGATTTAAATACCATGGGGGAGGGGGAGGGGAAGGCTGAGGGGAGCGCTCGTGGCGAGAACAAAGGGGGGCAGAGAGACGCAAGTGGAAGGAGACAGCCAGACGCACAGAGGCCTGCCGAGCAGATGCGGAAGCCGGCGGAGAAGCAGGCAGGGGAAGCGACAGCAGCGGCCCCCCTACCCCCGCAGATGGGAGCACCGCGCCGTCCCAGGGCTCCCATCGTCCCGCGAGGGGTGTCGCCTGAGCCCAGCGGGAGGCACCGTCGCAGCAGCCTTTGTGCAGCGACCCCAGGCGGGGGAGGGGGCCGAAGCAAGCAAGGCCGAGCAGAGGGCGCCCGAGAGCGCGCCAGTCCCCCCACCCCCGGTCTGGCCGCCCCCTTCCTTTCCCGAGCTGCGAGCTCTTTGTTCCCGTCCGGGGGCCGGGGACACAGGGAGCAGCAGGCCAGGGGTGCGCTGCGGCAAGGGCGGCGCTCGGTACCTACGTGTCTTTGTGGAGCAGCGCCAGGCGCTCCTTGGGCACTTTGAGGCGCTGGGACAGCCGCTTGCGCAGCCCCTCCACCGTCTCGTCGGGGGACACCGACAACTCGTAGCGAGTGCCCGTTGTGCTGTGGATGGCCAGGCTCATGGACGCTGCATCCGCCGCGGAGCCCAGCTCGCAGGCGCCGCCAGGGGCCCCGCGCCGGCAGCTCCGGGCGCCGCCAGGCTGCGGCTCCATCCCCGGCCCGCGCTGGGGAACTGGGGTCCGCGGGGCAACGCCAATCCTCGCCGCGCCTCCGGACAGGGCCGGGGCTCCCCGAACCAGGGTTCTCGGGGTCACCGGGTATGAGGGGCAGCGCGTGTCCCCTTCGAGAAGGTCCCAGGAACAAATGGCGAATCAAGAATCTCAGTGGCGCTCCGGGGTCGAGTCGGCTCGTTGGGGCGCCTTCCGGGGGTGGGGACTGTACTTGCGGCTTCTTTCAAGGGCGGCGGGAGTCGACCGAGACTAGGCGGGCGCGGGGGGAGGGTCCCGGAGGAGTGGGCGCCGCTGGCTGACCGCGCTTACTGCCGTCTGCCGGTCGGGCCGCGTTTCTCGGCGCGTCACCTCCCTTAGCAACAGTCGCCGCCGCCGCTCCGAAGATCTGGGGGTGAAAGTAACAAGAAAAAAAAGTTATAATGTAGCAACGTTCCAAGGGGCGGGGCCTCCGCCCCCTCCCATTCACTACTTACTCTGCCGGCCCGCGCCGGCCAATCGACGCGCGCCGAAGGCCTAGTGGGCTGCGCTTACCGGCCAATGGCTGTAGCCGCGGCGCTGCCCCACGTGGCCGCAGGGCCCGCCCCTGGCCCCGCCCCTGCCCCGGTGGCCAAGGGGAGCGCGGCGGGGGCGGAGCTGGAGCCGCAGAAGCCGGCCCCCACGCCCCCGCCCGCGCCGGGGGCCATTCATAAGGCCTGGTGCCCACAACAAAGGGCGAGCGGCCCGGGAGGACTCGGGACCTCTTCCCGGAGCTGTGTGGCGTGAGGGCCGGCTTTGTCCCCGCGCCAGGATGGGCAGGATGTCGCGTGACCTCTCCCGCGTCCGTCCGGGAAGCTACCGCGAGCGGAAGCGAGGGGCAATACCCGCGCCTCGTGGCTGGGCCATGTTCGGCGGCTCGCGGGAAGGTTCGACTTTGGGGCGTGAGGTCTCCACGAGCTGATGGCGAGTCCTGCATCCCGTGACGTGGCCGGTGTCGGGGGGACCCTGGTGCTACCTCGCGTCCCACCCCAGTCTCGCGGGCTGGACCTGCTTCTTGAGTCGCACCCGCCGGAGCTATGACGTGACGCGGCGTCCCTGGTGGGGCCCGCGCGCACGGCTCTGCTCCGGGCTGCGGTGAGTCAGCAGCGCTGGCGCGCCCTCTGCCGGCCCCCATCCGGGAGCGCTGCTGAGAGTCCTGGGGAGGGGGCGCGAGAATGTCCCGGGCAGGGCAAAGCCGACCGACTTCGGGCGTGGGGAGAGACTCGCTAGTGTGAATCCTCTAAATCATTGAGGCCGTACACACCGGAAAGCAGGCTGGAACAGCAACTAGCTCAAGGTCACTCCGGGGAGGGGGAGTGACGGGGGGGTGGGGCAGGGGCCCAGGTCCTGTGAAGGGGGTGCTGGCTGCGCCTCGCTCCACCCATTCCACGTCCCGTGGGGGAAGGGGTGCTTCCCAGGACTGGAGGTATCCCAAACCCTGCCTGTCCCAAGAACAAAGAAAAGTGGGGCACCTTAAAAGCCTAGAGCGGGGAACCCCTCCTTGGCCCGCGAGATCCCGCCCACAACTCACCGGGCCAGTCGGAGGTCACCACAGTCCTTTAATGTACCTGGGTCGAGAACCAGTGCGCCGTGGTGGGGTAGGTATGGGGCCGCACCGGCGGCCCTGAACCTTTATCCGCGCCGCCTTCCCTGGGTGGAGTTTGGGCGGGCAGGGGTGGTGGGAGGGAGCCGGGCGGGCAATGACGCAGGCCATCGCCGCCCCTCCCAGTGGGCCAGAGCCCAGGAGTGCCGCCCGGCCCGGGCCACTTGGCCGTCAATGACTGCGCTCATGGAATGCCACCGAACCCGAGGTCACGGTTGTCCTAGTCGACGACTCGGTCGCACCCCTACTTGGGCCACGGGTATTGGGTTTCTGGGTGCACAGCCGGACTCCCTGACATTTTTCTGCCGCTCCAAGCCCTGTGCTTCCGCCTGGGGGTGCCTGCAAGGCGGAAGGCGGGGCGTGGGAAGGGGAGCCTGAGTCAGCAGCACAGTCCAGGAAAACAGGCCCAAGTCACCTGCCTGGAGTGGGGGTGCTGGGGCCGCGCATCCCTTAACAGTGACCTCAGAGGGCATTTATGGAGCGATTAACCAGCACCAGGACTGCCTTGTGCAGCCAGTCATCACACGTCCTGTGACCTCGGGAGGGTTTTGGCCCCTGGAGCCTATTTCCTAGGTGGCCATGGGGTGGAATGAATATCCTGCAGGACTCACCCTGGGGCCTGAAGTATGGGTCCCTCACTCAGACCCAGTGATGTTGTCATCGTTCCATAATGCAAGTTCACAGGCTGCTGCCCATCCTTTGGGCTGGGCATAACCCCCCTACCCATTTCACATACTAGGAAATAGACCACACAGGCAGGAGCATGGCATGTCATTTTGGTGGCTTTCTGAGGATGACCCTGATTAGTGGTGGGGCTCTATTGGTCCTCCTGACCCTTCTGCCTAGAAAGGGACCCAAAGTTCTACTCACCCAACCCCTATCCACTTTTCTGGCTTCTTCATCTGGGATGACCATCCCCACCTCTACCCTCAGCATCCCTCCCAGGGCTGTTCCTTCCGACTCTCACCCTATGCTCCTATGGCCTCTGCCCCACTCCCACTCCCAGGCACTCCTAACCCCACAAGGTCAGTCAGGACTTGGCTGGAAGGAAGGAGTTACTGGGGCTGGTGTGGAGGGATGGATAGCGGTTTGCCACAAACACAGCATGGTTCTCCAGGAAATGGAAACAGCTACTGCAAAGATCTGGAGACTTAAGTGGCTACAGGTTGTGGACACAGGCAGAGGGGCCCAGTGTAGGGGCTCTGCTTCCAGCTTGGAGTTGGCAGAAGAAACAGAACAGCCTAGGTGGGACCTCCAAGGGGTGGGGATGTTGCTACTGGGGTAGGCAGAACTTTGTGATCTCAGGCTGGTCCCTGACCTTGCTGAAACCACACTGGCGGATGAAGGTTTGCTCCTGATGGGGGGCGGTGTGTGTGTGTGTGGAGGCCCCGACCTTGCTCTGCAGGTCTAACTTAATAAACGTGCTAATCAACTGGCTTCTGATTCCTTCCCATTTACAGCATCCCTATACTTCAGCAATTGTCCCAGGATATAAGCACAGTTGTACCAGGGGACCCCTTTCCTGCCCCCCTCAGGTCCCAAGCCTGCCCTGTGGATGAGGTCTGGACCCCTGGTTCCTGTCCCTGTGACCTGCCCCACCCTGAAACCCTTCTGCCCCAGGTCTTGACCCTGCCAGCACCAGCTGTTCCCTCGGGGCCCGTGTCAGGCAGGGTGTGTCCCCAAGTCTCATGTCTCCCATGGGGAATGTACTATGGTGTCCCAGTTGCATCCTGCTGTCCCCCAGCTGGAGGCTGAAGTCTCTCAGGACATAAGCAGAGAGGGGGTGCTGGCAGCATCTTGGTGATGATCTCCCTCGTTAACCTCCCTCCTTTGGTTTTATTTATGGTGCCCAACCTGGCCATGAACTCTGAAGACCTTGCCTCTGGGCTGGAGACAAGGAAGAGTGGTGCTGCACCCGCTATCACAGCCTTCTCTAGGCTGGGAGTTCCCGGGAAGTAGGGGACTGCTGCTTGGGCCTCACTGGCCTGAGAGGAAGGAGACCCAAGCGTGTGGGGGCGCGCACGCACATACGCACACACACACAGCGCAGATCACCTGGAGGCCCCCACACACGGGTCTCTCACCATGTCAAGCCTTGAACACAGCCATGTGACAGTCACTTGCACAGGACTGTGACACACTAGTGCACAGCCCATCCGTACTGATGACATGCCCCAGGGTGGCCTCCCTGTGACACAGAGGGAGGCCCAGGCTCTTCCGAACACTCACCATCCTGGAATACCCTGCAAGCCCAGCTTGGGCTCAGAGCTGATGGGAGTTGGGCGAGAAGCCCCCTGCCTTGAAGTCCTCTGCCTACCACCTGGAACCCAAGTCTGGGTCATCCCCAGGGTTACAAAATGGAGGAGATGGAACAGCTCTGTGAAGCTGTGTGCTGCCAGGGCTGCTCCTGTCGAGACACCCCACCCCATCTGGGGCTGTCCCAGGGCCTGGGGTGCCACAGAGATGCCAACACCAACAGAAGTCAGGCAGTCATCCAGCCAGGGCCACCCACAGGCTGGTCCAGTACAAGGCGGGGCCTCCCTGGGAGTAGGGCCAGGAAGCCCAGAGTGGAAATCACAACCTGGAACCTGACTGGACCCTAGGTGTCTCGACGAGCAGCCCAGTCCTGACCAAAGAACCACAGCCACCCCTCCACCCATGCTGTCCCCAGGACCCTGCCCGTCACCTAGCCTGGTGTCACTAGCTGTGTTCTCCCCCACTCCTCAGAGGCTCCCAAGGACCTTTTAGGCCACAATCCCCAAATCCTTGAAGCTGAGGCCCTCCCTAACAGAGGTATGGTATCCCAAGCCCATTGCCCTAGGCAGGAGACAAAATCAGCACACACAACTGGGGTCCCTGGTCTTTAATGGGGTGCACACTGGGGACAAGCGGTCCAGAGAAGGCAGTAGGAAGAAGAGGTCTCTACAGCATGAGGGTGGAGGGCAGCAGGTCAGGTTGGTGGGGTCTTTGGAGGCAAATCCCCTAGGTGACAGTCCCCCCAAGAGCAGAGCAGGGTCTCTGAGCTCACCCCTGCCACCAGGCCTGGGCCCAGGGGGTATGCACTAGGAGAAGCTAGCAATTTGCTGCCCCCTGGTGGCCTCACTGGCAAGGATGGCTACCTCCCAGAGGGGTTGCCCCCACCCTCATACTGGAACCATGAGAGCTGGTTCCAACCCCTGTCCCACTCTGGGCCTTGGTTTCCCCGCTGACACTGGCGAGGAGCACGCACCGCCTACTCCAGAGCCTTCACCAGGGCTTCGTTGGCCTCGATTCGGATTTGGATCTCAGCCCTCATGGCCTCGTCGGATGCCCCTGACAGCTCCGATTGTGCCTTCTCCAAGTTTGCCTTGGCCGCCTACAGTAGGTGGTGGTTAGTGAGGTCCAAACAGGGTCCCTTCCACCCCCAAAGCCAGAAACCCTTAGCTCATACCTCAGTTTCTGCCGGGACACTTACCCCCAAATCCAGCATGTCCAGCGACACAGCCTCTTCAGCCAGTAACTGAACTGATGAGTCAGCGTTCACTGTGACCGAGCCGCTGCTAACTGCAGGAGGAGAGGGGGTGGCTGAGGGGAAACCACCAGCCCCAGGACAGTGGCCCCACAAGAACCCTGGGATCCAGCGCAGGGAATGGGCACCTGGAGAGAACACATGAGACCAGGGGGCCAACAGGGGCATCTGCTGGTGGCTGGTCATGGGGACAGACCCTTCCCTTCACCCACGAGCTCATTAGCGGAGCGGGGTCAGGTGAACAGAGGGCTGTGTTTGAATCCTGGATGGCTGTAGCTTTGGAGACTAATGCTGGTGAAGGTCTTAGAGCTGGTTTCTTTCTGCACAAATTTCCTCCTCTTAAGTCAGGCCCCCTTGCCAGCACGTTTTTTTATTTTTAGAGAACATTCATTAAAGCTGGGAACAATGAAACAAGGAAGGGCCTAGGATAGAAGAAACCAACAGGAGAGGGACTAGGAGGGGAAATGAGGCTAGGCTGGGCTGCTTCGGCTCACAGCGAAAAAAGGGGCCTTGGGGACAGGGACAGAGGGTTAGCCCAGGACAAGCTGCCACTGCCCATTGCTCCCTGGTGGCAAGTCTCTGTGGGGTCTCTTAGCATTTAGGAGAGGCCTGTGGAGGAAGAAGAGAGGGAAGGGCAAGATGGGGGCTGCTTCGGGAAAGGAGAGCACACCTAGCCAGCACCATTTTACTTCTCTTCCCAGATCTGTCCCCCGTCTCCAACCCACGACAAGCTTCTTAACCACAGCCAGTAAGAAGCTGGAAGCTGCAAAAAAGCTTCTGGCTTTCTTCCTATTGTGTCCTCCGAGTGCCCACAGCACTTTTTCTTACCATACCAACTGAAACGGGGACTGGCTTGCTGCAACGTGCAGCTCTGCTCAGCCCAGTCCTCTGTCCTCCTGCTGGACTCACCGAAGTATTTGGAGCTGGTGCCATCCTCAGCATGGACAACAACCAATCCTGGCCGCAGGACCTGCAGGGTGGGCACGTGGGCTGCCAGGATACCGAAGGCCCCTGTCTGCGTGGGCACATCCACCTGCCGGACGTTGGCGCCATTGAAGAAGACCTGGAGAAGACAGATGAGGAATAATAGGTCCCTGCAGGCCAGGCCCACTCCACCCGGATTCAGTCTCCCAAGTAGTGAAATGGGCTGGGCAGAGCTGAGTGCCAATGGGAGGCACAGAAGCAGCCAGCGCTGGGGCCGACTTGGGTTCTGTTCTTTGGGCAGGACCTCAGTGCCATCATCTGTGAGAACGAAATCTAGCACCCAAGCCCTTCGGCAGAGATGCTGTAAGGATATGAGGAGGTGCCTGCCAGGGAAAGGCACATAGGAGGTGCTGCTCTCGGGAGGGGTGCTTGCAGCAAGGGGCAATCCCGGCTTAAAGGGCATGTCCGGCCCTTGGGTGTCGAATTCCAGGTGGAAGGTCCGGGAGTTTGGGAGGTTGGAGGTGGCAGGACCCCAGACCACACAGTGAAGGGGCACGAGTCCGAGGTACGGAATAGGGGTCGAGGTGCGGACCTGGGGGTTGGGGGTCTCGGACTGTGGGTACCGAATGGGGATCGGCGACCTGG